GCATTGGAACTTGATTAGGTGTTTCTTTACATTCATGAAAACGAATCTTCTTTACTTCGGTTGCTGAAGTATGGGAACTTGCATTGGAACTTGATTAGATGTTTCTTCACATTCATGAAAAGGCTGCACTTTACTTTAGGTCCTGCACTCATTCGAATGAAAATATCGATTAATTGATTGTTTCATTCGATATATCGTTTGGTTAGTTAGGTAAGGTTAACCTAACCTAACTAACCATTGATATATCGTTTGGTTAGTTAGGTTAGGTTAACCTTACCTAACTAACCAAACGATATATCGAATGAAACGATCGATTAATCGATATATCGATCGATATTTTCATTCGAATGAGTGTAGGACCTAAAGTAAAGTGCAGCCCATGAAAACGAACCTTCTTTACTTAGGTTTTTCTGAGTTGTTCTAAATTACGTTTCAGTGTTCTTCCAAAATCTTATCTTACGATATAGAGTTCCTAGTCCTCTATAACTTCACCAGCAAATGTCTACACATATTTATTACTCTGTGAATATTACCTAACAAAAAAACTTTCGAAGCGTATCAAATCATTTTTTAATTTTACTTTTTTCTGATCAAAGTTTCCAAATGGTTGAATACTTACAAACGTATTACTCTGTTGTGCTGGAGTTAAGTTGAAGTTTGTGAGGTGTTTATGTCGGGTAGGGCACCTATCCTAAACTTACCTCCGATTTGCTCGGACAGCTCAGGAGTAGTCCAGGGTTCTAGCTGAGTCGCCGTCGCTTGCTAATCGCTTCTCGATCTTCGTATACGTTTTCTTCGTCGTCCTACACGCACCCGATACTATGGTTGTATGTCAGCACAACGACGCACTGACCAGGAATATATCGGCACTAAATACGATGCTTCTAGGAGAACGAAAATACGTGACCAGCTTCTAGGCCTAACAAAAGGTATCGCTTCTCGAATAAAAACTAAAAATAAAACTCTCGCAGTGAAATAAAATGTCGTCACACGCAATAATAAAATAACGAAATGAAATGAGTCAGTGCTAATATGCCAATGAACTTCTTGGCTTCGAAATATAACTAAATAAAAATACATTTAGATAAAATAAAATAAAACCACTTTCGATAAATAAACTAAAAAGTTTAGGCTACTGCGGCACCACACTCGCAGTGCCGGCCTGAGAAATACAATACGCTAATCTCTTACAACTAAGATGATCGTAAATAATATTAACTTTTACTCGCCAAAGTGAACGGGAAAATAAGACAAATAATGTAATGGTGTAATGCAGTACTTACGTTTGCCTCTAATTATCTCGATTTATATTATTGTCGCTTTTATCTATTTTGTCTCACACGTTGCGAGTCGAATCCACGACCTATGTATGCTCTCAGGTCTGCTGTACGATCTTGGGAGGGTGTTCGGCGAACAAGCGCTCGCCCTCGACTGCCCCAAGAACTGTCCACTGTCCGGCGGTCTAGGCTAATCCCCACCATGACTACGTCAGCACCCCGAGGTCGCGGTGGTCAAGTCACGAACTAGGAGACATGACCAGCTGCAGTGGACATGTCTGACATTGTTGTCAAGCGCGCTCAAGCCTTCGCGGCCTTTAAATAATTAAAACGAACCCCCCAATAAAATGTGACCATTACAAGTTGCTCTGAAATCTTTTTTGCAAGTGTGATTTGGCTCTCAGTGAATGCTTTCAGTAGTGCTGTAAATAATTGTTCTGCATCCATAATATACAAAATCAAAATTTAGAAAAGGTTCTGGTTTCAAAATTATTGTGACTTTGAATTAGAATTAATAATTTCACACATTTGAATAAACTCTTTTATTCAATGGGATGTTTATAAACATTAAATTGGAAAGGTTAACATAGAACTGCATTGTTTTAACTTATAATTAATAACAACAGCTGGTCATAGAAAGTATAAAGGATACTACTATCTGTGGCTATACATACAAGGTAAAGTAATTAACAAGGGCCAAAAGAACAAAAATTGAATAGATGTAAATTCAGGTCCAATATCGCAATGCTTAGACTGTGATTGTGTAACTTGTTGATTCCTTGATGGGAAAACAGTACAATGTGACTCTGTTGATTCCTTGGTGGAAAACAACAATCTTTAAACTGTAGAAATCGATAAAAAATGGACTTACAATAGATGCTGTGCACAATTAATGTGGCTGCGGAGGACCATGGAGAGGTAAATTCAGATCCAATATCCCAATGCTTAGACTGTGATTGTGTACCTTGTTGATTCCTTGATGGGAAAACAGCATAATAAGGAGTTATCATCAACATATGGTTTCTTAACACACGTGATTTATGTTATTGTTTTTTAATGTTTATGTTTGTGTTTATATATTTTTCATTCAGTTGAAATGGATGAATAAAATGGGTTGTACAATGTATATTCTCTTGTATCTTGTTTTATATAATTTAAGGACTTTGATAACTGGCGACGAGGATAAAAAACCAAAATGGAGTAAACTGACATTGCATCACATTTAAACAGTTATAAAAGGATTAGAACATCAATCAAGTCACAATTGACTAAGCTAACAAACAAGCTGAACAATCACGAAATTGATCCTAGGCAAGTTGACGAACGTCTAGAACTTCTGGACTCAACATCAGGGCTAGAGATATACAAGGGCTGGCTCACTCCTTTGATGTTAGCGGTCGCCACCTGATCCTACTTCCCCTCCCCCGCCCCTCCACAGTGACGTAGCGGAGATACATCGGCGCGAGGCGCGACGGTAGCCTAGCACGGCAGTGCATATGTCGCCCGGCATCTACGCGCATATTAATAATTGTGTTTATAATCATGTAGTTTTATAGTGTGATTTTTAAAACGGGTTTCGTTAACCCTCCAACTTGCAATGGTCGAACTCTGTAGTGGCAAGGCATTTTTGGCGATTTTGCAGTCATATTTTCGAAAATTCATATAAACTATAAACCAACAGATCAAACCTATGAACTGTATTTATTATTTCCAACTTGAAGTGTTCGTAATGAAATGAAGAATTTGAAAATGGCAACGAAATAAATATTAAAAATATTGTAGAAAATATTGTCAGTAGGTAGAAAAATTGCTGCATGAACCAAAAATGTTTCATAAGATATACAATTTGTTTGGAATTTATTTCCCTACATGGAAATGTAAAAAGATTCCAATTACCATTTATACAAAGTTATGACCCAATAACAATAAAATGACAAGTTTCACGATTTTGCACAACAAATTTCAAATAAAAACCAAATAAATGTATTATCAAAGAGATAAAGTAGGGCCTAAAAGTAAACATTTTTAGGCAATAATATTGGAGATCAAATGAAGTAAGAATTGTTTATGTATACTGATCATTTCAATAGATGTTTATGACTTTTTAATAACTGTTTAATTGTCTAGAAAAACATTTTGTTATTCACACGTATATATTATTTTAAAAACCCAAACCAACTATATAAAATGAATTAAACTTATTCCCCTACATGAATATTAAATATACATAGTTATAAAGGCAAATATACAAAAATAAATATTTTATAGTTTTTTCTATAAAATGCTGCTGTGCCTTTTTCATTTGGCGATTAAATCGTTTGTTAATTATGACGAAATGTTTCAAAAACGGGCTAAATGTAATGTCCCAGACCTCAAATTAAGTAAGTATATCCACATAAAACAGTTTATAAACTAAATAAGTACAATTTTTACAACTAATAAATACGATTAAAAGTGATAAAGTCAAACCCGCGATATTCGTTGTTGGTAAACAGTCAATGAAGTTCACAAAAACTGGCAAAAAAATAGTGTCTCAAGTTTCTAAAAGTAATGTCACATTACAGTCGAGGCACAATAAACATTTACAACGTATAATCACGATGTAAACTGATAAAGTAAAATCATACTAAAACTCGACTTTTTAGTTATTGGTCAACAGAGATTGAGGTTAGTTAGTCAGGCAACTTAATGTATTTTTGCAACTGTATGTTATTTTAATGTATTGAAATATGTAGGGCCTATAATAAAATGTAATTGATTAATTGAAATTCTTTTCCTTCCTGAAAAAAGTTACAAAATACTAAGTATAGGTAATGTATTTTTATACAACATCAATGTATTTTATATAACCTCAATGAATTCTAAAAGGTATGAATAAGTAATAAATAAATACAATTAATAATCCATACATTAAGATACATTCGAGCAATACGAACACAGATATTACACAATAAATTTAATGCATTGGATCAATAACTACAGTAATCTTAGCCATCGCTTTACATTCCACTCCCATCCTTAAATATCTACTAAAGTTAATTTTTTACTTATTAAAATTGATGTTATAATAATACGTAATCCTATTTGAAAATCAATTACTTTTATAAAGTACATTCATACCTAATAAAAAATGTCCAACATAGAGCTTAATAAACACTAAATGTGCGGTAATACCAGTGCTCACACAGGCAAAGACATACAATGCCGGGAGCCCGAGGTATCGCCGTGACGTCACAGCGGCGGAGTGGTGGGGAGCCACCTGGCATCACTTTCTGAGCTCGTGTGGCCTAGCCCTTGTATATCTCTAGCCCTGACTCAACATGGACTAAATTTCTTGAAGTTCAAGAGAAAGTAGAACTAATAATAAACGACACAGAACTGGATGAAGAAGTAAATTACAAGATGGACATTGAAGAAGTATTCATTAATTTGAAGATTATGTTGAGGCAGTTGAAACCTATTTCACTTTCGATTACAACTCAAGAAATTAATGGTAATGCAAGCAACTCTACTGGAAATACAGCTTCAACATCCCATATTTCTAGGTTGTGAAGACATTCGTTAGGCCTCGTATGAAAATTGTTATCACAAAAATGACTCGGCTGCAATATCTATTTTGCGTAGCATGTGTAATCTTTGGTCATATCAATACCCGGCTGAGTCTATTGTTAAGTTCTCAATATCTTCAGTCAACTGTAACAATTGTGGTATTTTTGTATGTAGCTGAGTGGAATGGCACTGAACGCAGGGAAGCATGGAGTGGCAACACTTACACTCACCACTCATGGCAGTTCAACCGACGCAACACCCAGCCGCAGCCACAGCCACAGCGTGTACTGCTTGTGGCGGAGGGGGGTGGGGGAGCTCAACAACCTCCTGTCAGCGTAATTTACACCAGGGACTTAGCACAACGCCACGACCATGTCATGCTGGAGGATGTTGACGGCACTGAGTATAGGGTATGCAATTTTATTTGTGTTTTTCTACTAGGCATTGCTAAAGCTTTTTGTAAGGAAACAGTCTAAGCCCTGGCCCACTCAGGTCTTGGATTGTTTAAAACTTTTTGGGAGGGGTATTTAAAAGGTCTCTTTAGTAATAGTAATAATAGTTGCTTGTATTTAGATTAAATTACTACTGTAACTAAATAATTAGCACGTCCCTGCACAAATGTAATTTTGATAAGAGGAATTTACATAGTACAACATACATTTTGCTTCATTTTAATGACATCCATATTAAAGTTAGCAAGAAAAATACGAGTGTTGTTCAGAAAGTAAGGAACGTTGCCGTCTGACGCGAAAGGCGCACACTTGCTAGTTCATACGTGTTCGCCAACTCAATGAGTGTCCAGCCATCACAGCGGGGTCGTCAATGCGCTTCCCGTTGTCACAAAATTAAAGTTTAAAAAGTCTGTTGCAATTTAAAATCCAACCAGTTGTGAGGTGTGGTCTGTAATGCGGGTTTTGCTGGTCATACGCTTACTTAAACTATAGAAATTTATCGTCAAGGGTGTGAAGTTTACGGAAACAACGTAATAAATTAAAGTTCCGTCTGGAAATGGTGCATTCAGTTTCAAAATGGCCAAACAAAAGTTAACAACTAAAATTCTATTTTTGCATGACACTGGCCGAACCCACTTGTCAAATTGCACACAATCTCATCCAATCATTCCAACGGGAAATGTTCTTTTAAAGCGCCCACTCTACAGCCCCCAACTGGCTCCGATTGACTTTAACTTGTTTTGTGTACCATAATTAAGACTTGGTTTGCAGCACAGGGCATTGATTAAGACGAGGACCTTCAATTGCATGTCACAGGGTGGCCGAGTTTGCAGGCGGTGGAATTCTATGACAAAGGAATTTCAAAACTCGCCCACCACTTTGATGAATGCCTCAATTTCGGCGGGTATGTGGAAAAGTACTATTTTGGTTGCTCTTTCAAACGTATATAATACAAGTTTTAACTTGAACAAACTTTTTATTTTATTTGAAAATGTTCCTTATCTTCTAAACAGCCCTCTTATAATTTAGTTACTTATAAAAGGCGATGAGTGAGTTTTCATTCACATTTTATTTTCTTAGGTCCTTGATCCATCTCAAATGACTCTTCCCGTTCGAGTAGAAGAGGATTTAGATGCAGAGTCTATTAGACGACACGAATTTGAACGTGGATCTGACCTTGGAAGAGTCCAAAGAAGAGACAACATAGCAGATTCAGAACTCCGAACTCGGGATCAGATGTTTATTAGAGATGGAAATGCAGAAATCTTGAGACTTGTGACAAGAGGTCGTGTTGAAGAAGAAGAACCGAGGTTGAACCAGCCAGATACAAGACCCTACACCATAGTGGAGGGCATGGAAGGTGCTGCAAAACAGGAGGAAGAAGGCAAAGAAATTATCATGCAACGTTTCATTGAAGACCAAAAGAAATCTACAGAGGATAATGAGAAAAAAATAAACGAAGAGGAAGAGCTTGATGGGATTGATATAAAGGGATCAGAAAAAGCAAAAAGAAACACAGAAAATGGACATTTTTTACAAAGTTTATTAGACAGAAACCAACAAAATTTTTCATCTTCTGAAATAAATAGACTAACAGTATTACAGAGAGATTTACTGTTGACAAGGTTTCTAGTTGAAGAACAAAGAAGAACTTTAAGTCAACTGCCAGTTCATGATGACACACAAAGTCTTCCAGGAATGGTCACAAGTTTGACAACTATGGCAACACAGACTGATGTAAATAGAGGGACACAAACAGAGGTACTTTACACTATGAGGCCACCGAGAAGAAAGGCCAAGAGTGATCTTGATGACAGTGAGGAAAGTGATACAGAAACAAGCATGGATTACCATAGCAAAATTATCAGAAAACATAAAAAGAATAGGAGAAGACTAATTAGAGACCTTGACATTCCAGAGAGAGGACGATCTTTGAGTAGGTGTGATATTAAAACTCCTATAATGGAAGAAACTGAAAGTGCAGTTGAAAACATTGCTGAAAATACTCAGTTTCAGTATGCCAAAGGTGCAGCTGGTCAAGGTGGATTTACAGCAACAAAATCAAGCATGCTTCGACTGCAATCAACAAGAAAAAAGATTAAAGAAGGAGTACGTTTAGAAGAATCAAATACATCACTATCAAAACATTTATTTTCATCAGAAAGTGCAAATGGAGTTCTAGCTAATGCAAGAATAAAAAGTGTAAGTGAACAAAATTTATTTTCTTTAAATACTGGAAAAGATTCTTTACAAAAATCAGGAACCAAATCACTACAATCTACACCAACAGCCAAGAGAAAAGATGAAAAAATAGTGCAACAGAAACTTAAAAGAGTGAGGCATGAAATGAGTTTTTTAGACGATGATGAATCAGATGAAGAAGTTTATGGTAGGTCAAAATCGAGTTTAAATACAAGAAATGCATGCACTAGTCCTATACAAACTTATGTCAAAAGAACATCATCATCAACAGAACGGTTAAGTTCAAGATCTGATAAAAGAGAAGATTCTTCTGGGAAATCCCAGTCAAGAAGTGTAGAAGGAAGGAAAACACCATCAAGATATATGGAATGGTATAAAACAAAAAAGGAGGAATGGGAAAGGAAAAAGACAGAGGAAAAAGAAAAAGAACGCCAAAGAGCAGTGAAACCAGTAAAACCAAATAGCCAAAGACTTTCAAGAAGAGATACTCAAACTCCTAAAGTTAATATATTCCAGGAAGGGACCTCTAGAAGATCTCCTGCCTTTAGATCACTAAGTGCATATAGAACCAAAAAAGAAATTTTAGCCAAACAAAATGCTATCAACACTTTGGTAGAAAGAACCAAGAAAAGAGAAAAGTCTTCAGATGAAAAAAAATTCAGTCCATCTCCAGAAAGAAAACTGAGTTTCAAAGACATCAAAGAAGAACAGAAACCCAAAGTGTTTGAAGATGATCGAGATTCAGGTATTGCAATGTTAGCTCCTGGAAGTCAAAATATGAAAAGGAAAAACCAAAATCTAATGGAGAAAAAGAGTGTATTTACCATTGTTTATGATGATATGCAAACTAAGCAACTAAGACTAGATAGTGCTTCACCTCCTTAGCATGAAAAACATTTGTAAGTGGAAACATTTTTCATTAATTTTAAAACGGAAACAATCACCATTATTGCTTATTTGTTTTTGATACCTTAATATTGTATTAAATGTCATATTATGGAATCCCCCTGCAGGGTGGCTAGTGAAACCACATTGAAAAATTCCCTGACTTTTCCCTGACGATTCCATGATTTTTTTTAACTTTCCCTGATCGACAAATTCAAAATTACAATTTTAATACTAACTAATTCTTCAAAAGGACTAATCTTTATCTGAAAAATAGCTTAAATATTTGTTTACATGAAAAAATACATAAAATCTATAGATAGGCCTTCAGGCTAGCTTATATTCAAACTTTGCTACTTGCCTTAGTAAAATTAAATAACTTCTTGATCAGCATTGTACGTGTTATTAAATTTACGGAAAGTAAATAAGATACGTCTTACAACACTTAAAACATATATTTACGCTTATACTGTTACTCACAAGACGGTAAATATACAAAAGATGGTAAGTGGTGATCGATTTCGATTGGACACTCCAATCATCATCAGACCCAATAGGCGAATGACATGGGCGGATGAATGACCCAACGTCATTCGCCTATTTTTTTTTTTTTTTTTTAAGGGAGAGGAGGTAAAAATGCTTTTACGCACACAGGTAGCCAGCCTGTAGTGTGAGACTCCTGAGCTTGTCAGACTACTCACTAAAAAACCCCCTCTACTCTGTTGGACACAGACCTGGGATTGTTTGTCACATTACTTCAGGTCAGGTCAACGTGTGACCTAAGCCCTCAGGGCTCGCGCCGTTTCTGGCATTCAATTTCTTTATGACCTAGACTGCATCTCGGTCAAGCTCTAGCTTCTTTGTGCGGAGAATATCCTGGACGAAATGTGACATACAGGTCCAATTGTCCTCACCCTCCGTCATCATCGGAATGACCGTGTCCACCAACGTCATTCGCCTATTGGGTCTGATGATGATTGGAGTGTCCAATCAAAATCGATCACCACTTACCGTCTTTTGTATATTTACCGTCTTGTATAAGCGTAAATATATGTTTTAAGTGTTATAAGACGTATCTTTATTTACTTTCCGTTAATAAAATTAAACTGAGTTTTTTGAAAGATGATACACAGTTTATAACAAAACTTAATTTGTACAAAAACACAACATTTATTTCTACAGAAATATTTCTTAGTTTTCACACACACAGCATACGTACTCTAACCAGATCAACCTTTCCTAACAATTATTATAATTATTATAAACATTTTAAAAATTTTTCCTGACTTATGACAAAATTCCCTGACTTTTCCAGATATTTAATATTCCCTTACATTTCCAGGTTTTCCAGGTCACTAGCCACCCTACCCTGGTTGTTGTTAGTCTTGTTTACAGCTAAACAAAATCATTACAACCTTAAGTTTTTGTAAAAATTTTAATTTTGCAACATTGTTATTAAACTTACTTATGAGATATGTTGCTCATGCTAATGGGAAAGAATGTTATTTAATAATACTACCTGTTACCCTCAGGCTTCACCCCGTTTGACTTCTTTATTTATTTTTTTATTATTTATTTTCTTTCTTTTATTCATAAGTATTAATAAAACTATTGATTGGTTAGGTTAAGCTGAAATAAACAAAACATAATACAGTAAAACAAACAAATAATCACAACTGATTTTAATAAGGTAATACATTGAAAGAATAACGAGCAAAAAAGTACAGCTGAGGTATTTTTAACATATTCAGGTATATAGAAAGATCCCTTTCGAAAAGAATTACCACCTTAAAGGGCAATCTATGAAATAATGGATAGTTTTGCGCAAGGTTTCTCGTCATGACGAAGATTTTAAGTATATGGTTTATGGGGGTGTGACTTTTAGTTTTCTCAAAAGTTCGGGTACTTTGGGATTTATATATGGATTATTATGCTAAGACATTTTAGTCCCCTAGGTGAGGAAATGTAAATATGTGTTTTGTTGCTACTTAGAGGTAAACTGTTAAGAACTCCATTTACAGTTTATTGTTGTATAAAGACAATGCAAGAAAATAAAACATAAATTTTACAATGAGACTTTTACACAATGTTTGTATGACAAGTTTGTACACAATTCAAGTCTTCTAACTAAAATCAAACTTCCTTTGACAATGATATTATAGCATACAGATAGATAAATTACATTAAGAAGCAAATTACTTTCTGTAGAGATTATTCATTTGTCATTTAAGGCAATGGCGGCTCACCATAAAGGTACATTTCAGTGGGAAAATATGGGCGGGTACGATGATGATAAGCACTTTTTATAATGTTATCTTCAAATCCGGAACGATAAGAAAAAATCCAAATAATAATTTATGTAAAATAAAATCATATCTTAACAGCTTGAAAAATTCTTCAAAAGAATTTGAAGGGCGCTCCTTTGTCAGATGCAGCCCAACAACATAAGAACAAGATTTGGGCAGCACCCACACCTCATCCTCACACCAGTGTTGTTCAAGCCAGTTCCGACTTCCCTTGGATCTGCTGTACCTCCATAACTGCTGGTTGCTACAGTACATCACGTGGCGAACAATAATCCAGGAAGTGATTTAAAAGCTAAGATATTTGTTTGAAGTTTGAATGCATAGTGTAAAAATAAAATACTACTATTCCTACTAAAGCTGTCAACTCTAAATTCTGCAGCGAAAAAACACATTTTGGTGCAGGGTTCTGGCTGCTTCTGAACATCCACCACTTTTAAGCGATTTCTAATTGTTGGTCATAGATGGCATATAAACCAATTGTTATTAGGTTGCCTTAAACAAAAAATACCCCCGCCACAGCAAACCTGCAGACTAAGGGAATTTCCATTTGCCTGATTGGATTTACACTAAAATGTCTAGTTAAAAATATAACATTGATTTCCTATTTAAATAGAATTAGTTTAACAAGTACTTAGGTTTGCTGCATCAGGGAGGGTAAAACTTTTTTTTTGTAAAATGTTAATATTTAGTAAGAAATAAAAGCATTTTCCAAATCTGATCAAAATATGTCCATAAACAAGCAAACTACTACAGTTTACTTGTTCTCCATAAGAATAACATGGGAATTTTAAATTTACATTTTTTAAATTTTCTCCGTAACCATTAGGCACATAACAACGCTTCAATATACTAAATTATTTGTTTTTTTAAGCTCTACAAAATGGTTTGGAAAGAAATTGCTAAAATTTATGTTTTTTGGGTCAAAAATGGGAAAAACCTATTTTTACCCCATAAAACCCCCCCGTAAACCCCCATTCCCATAGTCCGATCATGCTGGTTCGCGAATTCGTTCAAATAAATGTTGATTCAGACGTTTATACCAAATTTCATAAAAATTGGATCATTTTTGCTCGAGTTATTGAGCTAACGGACACACACACACATATATATATAAATATATATATAAGCAAAATAATAAAAACCAGAGTACCCTGAAATTCATTTTTTATTTAAACTGATACGTATTTCGGCACTAAGGCCATGATCACAGTATGAGTGTTATGACAGTATGTAAACAATTAAAATAAATAAATAGTTAATAACATATGTTTTGAATTCATAGTAAAGTTTTGATTAAATCTTTGTAAAAGTTTTGTGATCATGGCCTTAGTGCCGAAATATGTATCAGTTTAAATAAAAAATGAATTTCAGGGTACTCTGGTTTTTATTATTTTGCTTATTAATTGAAAAAGTAGCCCTAAAAAGTGAACAGAACTATCAAAATATATATATATAAATATATGTATATATATATATATAAATATATTATATATATATATATATATATATATATATAAATGCATTATTAAAAACTAAGTACCCTTTTTTTAATTCATTTTATTTAACAATGACTAGTTTCGACGATTATGTCATAGTCATGTTGTTTTTATATCTCTCAAATACAATAAACATTTTATCTAAATAATAAATACAATCATATGATTTCATAGGTTTTGATGACTTTAGATTTCTTCTGTTTTAAATGGTCTTTATACTATATATAATAATTTTCTCTCTTAATTTAACTGCAGGATTTTTTTTAAATATTATACTATATAATATCCTTATTATATATATAATATTATAATATAACTAGCTGACCCGGCGAACTTCGTATCGCCTAAGTTATAGGTTTCCCCTAAGACAGACCGATGGAAAGAAAGTACCGTTACGTTTAATTTTCAAGATGATCTCGTTCGCATCGCTCAATCACGTCCTGGTTGAAGTTCGTTCGCTACGCTCACTCACCTTTGGGTTGGAGCTCGTTCGCTGCGCTCACTTGCCTTCAGGATAGCTCCTTTGCTACGCTCACTCGCCTCTCTCGTTCGCATCGCTCAATCACGTCCTGGTTGAAGTTCGTTCGCTACGCTCACTCACCTTTGGGTTGGAGCTCGTTCGCTACGCTCACTCACCTTTAGGTTGGAGCTCGTTCGCTGCGCTCACTTGCCTTCAATCCTTGTAACTTTAATGCTATTGAACATCATAAAAAAGAACCAACTTGTTTAATTAAAACAGCTGTTAAGATTCATTAATTCCATTTCTCATAAGGTTAACATGGGAAACTCCAGAGCCACTGGGGCGGAGCCCTTTTAAGAATTTCGAAACGGGAAATAGTTTACGTCCGATTCGCATACCTACAGAATTTACACACCAAATTTCATAACGATCGGTGAAGTCGTTCCGGAGGAGTTTGCAGACAAACACTGTGACACGAGAATTTTATATATTAGATAGCTAATCATCCATGGCAACATAAATTGGCAACATTTCATTCATTAACACACAGACTTGTAAATATTCCTATGTCCACTGAAAACTTTAACAAAGAAAAAAATACTATTATATATTTGGCAGTGAAAAATGGATACAATCCATCTATAATTGAAAAAAATGATTAAGAAGAAATTTAAGAGAAAACTTCAAACACAAGGAACTACTTCAGGAACAGAAAACAAAAAGAGAAAAGAATTTATTTGTATACCGTACAATACCAAAATTAATGAAGCCCTAAGAAAAACTTTCAACCGTTTAAATGTAATAATCAGTTATAAAACAAAAAATAATGCTTTTCAAATAATCAATAACAAAATTTCAAAAGAAAATATAGCTAACCAAAATCAAGACAATATAAGAAAATCAAGTATTTATGAAATCAAATGTTCTAATTGTGATAAATCCTACATTGGGCAAACAAGTCGAACTTTTGAAAAACGGTTCAAAGAACATATTCAAGCATTAAGATCAGGAAACCGCACAACAATGAAATCTAATTTTGCAGAACATTTAATACAAACAGACCATGAATACAAAAGCATCCACGAAAATTTAAAAATCCTTGAATATGAAAAAGACAAATTAAAATTACATGTTAAAGAAGATTTTTACATTTACAAAAACTATAAACAACACCCAGAAAATTTACTAAACACAATGAACATTAACAAATCCAATCCAATATTTGAAAAAATCCTGCAGTTAAATTAAGAGAGAAAATTATAATAGTATAAAGACCATTTAAAACAGAAGAAATCTAAAGTCATCAAAACCTATGAAATCATATGATTGTATTTATTATTTAGATAAAATGTTTATTGTATTTGTTAGATATAAAAACAACATGACTATGACATAATCGTCGAAACTAGTCATTGTTAAATAAAATGAATTAAAAAAAGGGTACTTAGTTTTTAATAATGCATTTATATATATATATATATATATATATATATATATAATATATTTATATATATATATATACATATATTTATATATATATATTTTGATAGTTCTGTTCACTTTTTAGGGCTACTTCGCTACGCTCACTCACCTTTGGGTTGGAGCTCGTTCGCTGCGCTCACTTGCCTTCAGGATAGCTCCTTTGCTACGCTCACTCGCCTCTCTCGTTCGCATCGCTCAATCACGTCCTGGTTGAAGTTCGTTCGCTACGCTCACTCACCTTTGGGTTGGAGCTCGTTCGCTACGCTCACTCACCTTTAGGTTGGAGCTCGTTCGCTGCGCTCACTTGCCTTCAATCCTTGTAACTTTAATGCTATTGAACATCATAAAAAAGAACCAACTTGTTTAATTAAAACAGCTGTTAAGATTCATTAATTCCATTTCTCATAAGGTTAACATGGGAAACTCCAGAGCCACTGGGGCGGAGCCCTTTTAAGAATTTCGAAACGGGAAATAGTTTACGTCCGATTCGCATACCTACAGAATTTACACACCAAATTTCATAACGATCGGTGAAGTCGTTCCGGAGGAGTTTGCAGACAAACACTGTGACACGAGAATTTTATATATTAGATAGCTAATCATCCATGGCAACATAAATTGGCAACATTTCATTCATTAACACACAGACTTGTAAATATTCCTATGTCCACTGAAAACTTTAACAAAGAAAAAAATACTATTATATATTTGGCAGTGAAAAATGGATACAATCCATCTATAATTGAAAAAAATGATTAAGAAGAAATTTAAGAGAAAACTTCAAACACAAGGAACTACTTCAGGAACAGAAAACAAAAAGAGAAAAGAATTTATTTGTATACCGTACAATACCAAAATTAATGAAGCCCTAAGAAAAACTTTCAACCGTTTAAATGTAATAATCAGTTATAAAACAAAAAATAATGCTTTTCAAATAATCAATAACAAAATTTCAAAAGAAAATATAGCTAACCAAAATCAAGACAATATAAGAAAATCAAGTATTTATGAAATCAAATGTTCTAATTGTGATAAATCCTACATTGGGCAAACAAGTCGAACTTTTGAAAAACGGTTCAAAGAACATATTCAAGCATTAAGATCAGGAAACCGCACAACAATGAAATCTAATTTTGCAGAACATTTAATACAAACAGACCATGAATACAAAAGCATCCACGAAAATTTAAAAATCCTTGAATATGAAAAAGACAAATTAAAATTACATGTTAAAGAAGATTTTTACATTTACAAAAACTATAAACAACACCCAGAAAATTTACTAAACACAATGAACATTAACAAATCCAATCCAATATTTGAAAAAATCCTGCAGTTAAATTAAGAGAGAAAATTATTATATATAGTATAAAGACCATTTAAAACAGAAGAAATCTAAAGTCATCAAAACCTATGAAATCATATGATTGTATTTATTATTTAGATAAAATGTTTATTGTATTTGTTAGATATAAAAACAACATGACTATGACATAATCGTCGAAACTAGTCGTTGTTAAATAAAATGAATTAAAAAAAAGGGTACTTAGTTCTTAATAATGCATTTATATATCAAAATAGTAGCCCTAATCACTACAGTTTTCTTAATATATATATAAATATATATATATATATGAATCTGAACGGATGTTGTTTTTGGCCTCTAGGGACTTCACAACGAAAAAAAAAAATCGGTCTCGCGTCCAGGTCTTACCACGAGTACTACGGTAATAGCTTATTCCCTATATGGGAAATTCGCTAAAAGCAAATAATGCAATCAATATTATAAGCAATTTTAGTTGAGAGTTATGAATCAACTCATAATACTTTTATGATGTTTATATGTGATTAATTAAACCAATTACCTACCGTAATCATAATTGTTTTGTTTTTATATATTCAATATTGATATTAAAAAGTTAAATTGCTGTGTGTGTACAATTGTAAATTAAATTGTGTACTATACTCCGTTCACTAAATTCAGGCAGTTTTAGGAGAAGAAATCTAACCCTTTCATTTGTTCCTTCCTTTAACACGTTCGCTACTGCAATTGTACGAAATTTTTCATTCACATGGACCAGCGACGTGTATATGCGACAGCCGGTTTCTACCCATAGACTGCTGTTGCATATATGCGTCGGTTAGTCACATTAAAATAGACTGCTGTCGCATATTTGCATCGGGGTTCTAATGTTATTAAAATGCTTATATCTTTGTAACGGTCTATTTCAAGGCACTTAATTCCCTGCAGTGGTCTACAGAGATGTCTGACGCACAACTGTGTCGCTTGGTCTGTGGATATGATGATTGGTGACGTCATATGATAGTTGGAAAAACTGGTCTTTACTTTTCTGCATCACTGTATGTATGTATGCAGTACGTATGCTGCATTATCCTATGTATCTTTTATATTTGTTCAGTTATAAACTGTCCTTGAATAATCTGTTTTTTTTACTTACTTTCACCTCAAAACACAAACAAAAATGAACTGTCGCATATATGCGGCGTTTGGGCTATTTCAAGAAAACTATGATAATTTTCACTATTGTTTTCGCTGTAGACCGGGCGTTGCAAATATGCGACATTACAAAAGGTTATAAAAAATACAAAAAACAAGAATAAATTATTTAAAAACATGATTGTAGCATATTGCAATGTAAATGATCACTGTTTTACAGGTTTTTGTCTGTGTGTACTGTTAACCAAGTGCGGTCTATGTGTAAGATTCAAATGTATATATACCTCGGTCTGTGGCAATGACTGCGGCGTCGCATATATGCAACGCTCATTAGCGAACATGTTAAAGATAGATCAGTAGCTGGGATTTGCCATAAGCTGGGGTTGAATTTCAATCAGCTGCAACTTATACACTTCCCCTCAAACCGCTTGAACCCTAAAGTTGGAGTAACTCTGAAAACATGTCTATACTAAGTTTACTATTTGATGATTTGTGCTATGCATTTGTCACTTTTAAACAAGTTGAGATAGCTTTATTATGATAGAAATAAAATAATTTAAGGAAAATAACTAGGAATGAAGCATTAAAAAGGCCCGATATCAGTTCAGTTGTAGTCTTCTAATAGATTAAAACAATGGTTTGTTTACTAAAAAATAATGTTACCAGCTGTATGATACTATATGATTACTGACTGAAACGAATGTATACTGCCAATAATGCACATAAATATAAATCATGATGTAAATGTCTAACTACTAACGCCGAGCAATTTCAAAGGCAGATTTTTCCTTATTTATGCCTTTTGTTATCATTATAGATTTTTATAGATTTTTAATAAAAAATACTGTAGATTTTTTAAAAATAAAATTAAAGTTTTATATTATTAGTTGCTTTATATTCATTGGTTTATGTGTGTATAAATAAATATTTCTGAAAACGAACAATGTGTATCTTTGAATACCTCAAATCTATACTTGTTACAGCATGACAGGAACTAGTTCTTCTAAACGTCCCTGTTTGTTTATGTGAATGATACAAGAGGTAGGACTTGTATTTTTCTGATATGATGATGTGAATTCCTAAAATATTTAATCAAACTTACTTACCGTACTGTTTCTTTACTACAGTACAATCCTGCTAAAAAAACTCTAATTCTAATTTAGATTTTGAATGGAAGTAAAAACACAGCATATTAAAAAAAAGTAACATTGTACTGGACCTGAAAATCTGTTTCACTGATTAAATGATTTTACTTAATCAGATTTCCTATCAGATCAGATACTGTATGCGAGAGTAATAATTACTGAAGTTGACAGTTACTTACAACATGCTTAAAATGTAATGAGCTCTCTTAAGACTTTTAGCTACTATTAAAAACCCCCTATTTATACAAGGTATGTTTATTTCATAAATAAAACATGTTCTGTAAGTAGTACATTTATTCAATATCTAATTCAATAACTTTTGATAAAGATATAAAACCTTTACCAACACCAATAACCTTAAACCTACACCAATATTCTGTTAAATATTTATTAAGGCTCTGTAAATAAGATTTGTTGGAAATGCAGTTTCTTTGTCAAAAATGTATTATCGAAAGAGTAAGTTGATTAATGTACTTTGCTTGTGATGATAGGTTCAAATTTGACAAAATGGCTAAGATAGGTATTGGTCAGTTGTTGATAATTTATTTTTCTAGTTTTTTCCTGTTGATGAACAAAATATTATTAAATTTATTTTAAATAATGGTTTCTGTTTGAAATTAAATGGAAATCTTAGTTAAATAGAAATTCACTTTACTGTGACATTATTGTTTTTTAAGAATAAGAATAAGAATAAGTTTATTGTCTTTCAGGCTACATAAGCATTAACAAAGTCAAATTTACAGCAGAAATGCCAAGTCTCTATACTAATTAGGCCTAAGGGTAATATCACATATCATAGAAATATACAATTCATAGGAACTATACAAGAATAAAAAATTATACATAACAGATTTCAAACATTAAAATTCTATCTGTTTTAATAAGAAAAACTCACTAAGTGAATAGAAAGGATTTTTAGATAACCACTCATAAAATTTGTTCTTAAAAACTTTAACAGTATATTTCTTACTAAGATTAATTACTTTATTATATACCTTAAGGGATAGTACTACATGACTAGACAGTGATTTGCTGAGCCTATTGTACTCAATTGCTGCTTTATCCCTATTACGAGTGTTGAAACTGTGCATATCCCCAGTGAGTGTAACAAGATCCTGATTTTTTAGTATATAAGATACAAGTTCAAATGTAAAGGTTGATCCAACTGAATAAATAAAGGCCTGCAATGAGCACTTACATCTGACTTGGTCATAACTCTTTTTGTAAAAAACAATTTTATTCCTAAACTTTTAGATATTAATATTTTTTGTGTTGAGTTACATTTTGAAGCCTCAGCAGTTATTATTGAGAGCCATAAATTAATTATTGTGTCAATTTATCATTCTCCCTCTGGTGATGCTGATGTATTTTTAGATAAGTTAGATAAGATAAGCAAAAGTAAGAACTTAAAATACACTTGATCATAAGCCATTTTTTTCTAGGCATGATTTCTATACATCATGTAATATACTGTTATACTAACAGTCTTAACCGTTATCTAATAATTAATTTTAAAAAATTGTTCTTTAACACTATCAGTCGTTATTTACGGAAAAAACTATTTTTTTATTCGTTTTTACAACAAATTGTTGAGAAGCCCAACTTTCCTGAGGGAACCCAGCTACATTAAAAAATCACTTCGTTATAGAGGTTAAGTTGACTAAAAATCTTCATCGATTTTAGTTATTTGGACAGATTGAGCATGAACAAAATATGTAAAATGTTTTAAAAGTAAACAGCATTATTTAATCGTATTAATTTTTTCATGATTAATTTTTTACTGTATAATTTGAGAAAGTAAATCCAGTTAAATTACAGTAGTAGATTTTTTATTTTGACATAAAACCTTGCAAGCTTTACGCAAAAGATTTCCCTCGATCTAGGAGACTAGCCATAGATTTTGCTTGAAAAGTTTTCTACTACGGTATATTTTATTATTCTTAATATTATTTTTTTGTTTGATTTAAAAGTTTCATAGACTTTCTTTGACTTCAGTAGGATGCCTGGCAATGTCCTCTTCATAGTATTTATGATTCTATGCTTCACTAAATCACAACTTGCATTCATTCGTCATGTAAAGAGGTTGTTTTCCTGGCTCAGTGGAAGCTCTACACAGCAAAGTAAGTAAACATTTGAAACCTTCTCAGCATTTGTTTTACCAGTTAGGTGTTTCATCTGATCTTTGATGAACAAATTAGAATAAAACCCACAATATGTTGTGGCATTATTAGTGACTGGAAAGGTAAGCTATTGACATGACCTGCATGGACAGACTCTGGGATGTGAGGGGTCACCATAAGGGTTCATTTTATGATCCCTGATGACAGTTCCATTTAACACTTTCTAATGTCTTAGAATGGTTTCTTTCAAGATAATATAAACTTAGCAACACAGTACATTGTCTACTACTTCCTTCACCACTTCCTACGTCGTGGACCTGTTTAAGTTTGCCATTTATGAGATGGATCCATGAATGTGATTTACCAATGAATTGTTTAAAGACAAAATGTTATTTTGTTATAACCTTATTTAGCTACGTAAATCAAATCTGTTAAATACTGTACCTAAGAAAGTGTGTTTTATCCATGACTGTACAGCTCGTGACATCTAAGCTGGCACTTGGCCTAGCGCAGGCAGTGTTGGCGGGAGGAGGGTGGAGGTAGGGAAAATACCAGACTGCAAACATTTCCGCTGCCTCAAGGGGTTGACTCCCCTTGTATTATGTACATGAGCGCCTTATGGGTCGCAAGGACAGTTGATGCAACCCGCATGACGGGACATCATGTTTTTGAACTAGATACTAGTGGCGATCGGCCAAGTGCCAGCTTAGATGTCACGAGCTGTACCCATCCGATCAGGGATCGTTCCCAAATTGGGACTTAAATGTAAACCTAAGACTTTCTCTGTGGTATTTGATCAGTTGTCATCTTCCGAATGTTTTTCCCTTAGTACTGTGTTTAGGTCGTGGTTGATTTTAACATATGCCATGATTCTTTGTTTTGTTTACATTTACGTCGTTATTTTGTAACCATCATGGCAACCCATAAGACCAATGTTAAAATTTAAAAACATTGAGTTACTTTAAGATTACTGTATTTAGGCATTATCAAAAATTGAAATTGGTTACGTCCAAACCATCCAACATTTGACAAAACAACCTAGGTAAGTTTGGCTAAAATATGTTCAGCCGTTATTGAGATTAAAAGATTGCATTGAAGTTCATCCCAAAGAGCTTCGCTTCCCTCCGTTCAATGACAAATATTATAGATCAGACAGGCAATGGATGCTGCAACTAAAATTCATACGTTATAGTGGTCAGAGAGATACTCTATATATTTCCAAGCGGAGGATATGATTGTGATATTTTGTTCATCAATCCTATCTACCCCACTAACGTGCAATGTCCTGGGAAAAATAGAGAAAGAGCCGGCCTTTTGTATGTTATTGCAACAGGGACTTGTTTGCCAGTGGACTATACAGTACCACTGCGATGTACAATACAAATGGGGCTGATCGACTTCTGAGTCGGATCTTTGATTGACTGTCTGTTAAATTTAAAGTTTTTTGATTCTAATGGGAGTCTATCCTTGTGATCTTTAAAGTTTTCTCCTAGCCTTCGACCGTGGACAAAGCAACGTTTGTCTCTGAATCTCTCCTCTAAAATCACAATCAACCACTCGCACCGGATCTGTTCTTTTTTGATTGACCAACAATACAAGATACAATATAAGATACAATACAATATGATACAATACAAGATATTTAATATACATTAAATTTCAGCTGTGACTTATAACAAAAATTTACCATTAACTTAGAACGAGGTTAGCCCGTCCTACGTACGGGAGTAGTCAGTTAAAACGGCGTAGGCCTATAATTCAGAACAGCTAGTTTACACGTATAAAGACAAATTTTATTGCACCCTACAGTAGAAAGAGTAATTATCAATTTAGAAAAGTATAGGCAAACCTTCCATCGCATACCTACCTCTTCCATAATCAATATCACCACAATACAATTACTCATACTATACACAATTTCCAGTAGGTCTGAATTGAAACTCCCTAAAATAAAACGAAAACGTCCAATAAAATTCACAGTACACATAATTATAACGTTGGTGTCCTGACATCATTAAACTAATCGTCCACACACATCCTTTATGCCAATTTCACTGCATCAATTGCTAAATAAATAAGTGTAAACAAAGAAAAGTAAACACAACAACATATTAGTTTGTTTTGTAAACAGCTGAGTCAAAAATAATATTCATTTGAACAAAAGAACTGGTCACACGTTTAAGGAATTTAAAAAGTAAAAACGCTAGTAAAGCTAGTGACGTAATTAATTGTCCACGTTTATTATCCATTCCGTTATCAGTTCCAATATCCTTGATAATTAAACCACCCTCATTGAATCAATGTACATCGTAATTCCCCATATTCATTTATTTAAACTATAAAATATTCAGCGCCTTCAAACGTAACCATTAACTAAACAAACGCCAAACAACTTTTTTAGATTTCATAAAAGGATGGTTAGTCTAACTGCAGTATCCTAGGTCAATGATGACGTTGTGTTCAATCTATGTCATTCATCTGTATATCTTTGGATAACACCCGTCTGAGGTTGTGGTGGTAATTTAAAATCGTATTCCTGAGGATTCTTGATCTCCATCTTTATGACATCAATATTCCCGGGCCTAATCCAAACAAAGTTTAATCATTCAAAAACATTGATTGTAAACAAAAAGCTGCCAAGATTAATTAAAACATGTAAGTAAAAATTGGGATTTTCCTACCCTTTCCAAAAACGTTGAGCAGTCCAAAAAAGTTGAGCAGTAAAATAATTTGCATATCTTTTTTATTTAACTCGTGTACAGAGCCTCGACTTGTACTTATCGATGGTGTTACTTATCTCGGCGGTCTACTAATCTTAGAGCCTTATGCGATACTCTTCATAAGGCCGTTCGTAGGTTCGACCACACAAAACATTCACACCAAAGACGATTTTAACATATATTTTACTTGGAGGATTTGTCTAAACCGATCGATTTTCCGACAGCGGTTCGTTACGATATTCAGTTGATCAAAATTTCTAAATTTTTCGGAACTGGTATTCGTTTTAAATTAATTTAAAGCTAATTTCAACGTTTGACAATCAGTAAAATTTGACAATTGCTGTCGTATCGACGCACGTGCAGTTTATCCCAAATGTGATTTACCGAGCAGCGAATGAGTTTTTGGATGAAACTTCGTTGACACGACTTGACATCTGACCTCCAAGTGCTTGTTGCACGCTTCTCCTTTTAGCATTCAAACGTTTATCTATGTATCCCTCTGCGTTCGTCGTGATTAGACAATGTTGTCCGTTGTTTTGGTATGGATTTTGAGTGTTTCAATTCAAAATCGGCACACCACCAACAATAAAAATTGGTCCGTTGATGAAACTTGGTGAACACTTTTTGTCTGCCATATGAATGAATAAAAAAAAAGAGTCCATGAAAAAAGGTTTAAGTGGAAGGAGGTTTATTGGGAGAGGGGGGAGAAATATGAGTTTTCAAACTGAAAATTAAATTTTGACACAATATAGGCATGTCACACAGGTTTTTTGGTTTATTTTCGATGCAGAATCGAATAAAATTATGAGCCAGACAATATAACCTCCATATAAAGAGTTTTTGTCTTGATTACATCTTATATTCAATTATTTTCCCCTTTAAAATACCACACAAACCAGAAATAAAGTTTACGATGACATAATAATGTCATATTTTTTCCTCCTAGAAACCATATAACCATATTAAATACAATACTTAGCAAAAACCTTTGCAAACACAATATCTGACAATTTCGTTGACTTATTGATTGGCCACTATAAGATGTCAATTTTGTATAACATTTAAATGATACTTTTTAATGTAACAAAGGAAATTTTCCCAATCTTTCCCAAGATTGCCGACACAACTTCCTGTATCTAGTTGCATACTAATTATAGTATTATTGATACAGATAGAAACCCAAATTGGAGAAAGTACACACATTATGACACTGAAGACCAAGAGAAAACATAGCTTCATTTGTCAACTTAGGTGAACAATCAAGTATGTTAGAGTCGATAAAAGTTCTAGTACCTCTACCCTTTGCATTGTCAGTGAAATTTACTTGTCGGTTGTACGTTCCTTTTCCATGTCCATCAATTTGTTGGTTTTGAAAATCAGTTCTACTTTTAATTTGGCAAACTTTTGCCAAGTGTCCTTTTGTATCATAATTATTACATATTGCATTTCTAAATCTACACTGTTTCCTAAAATGTCTACCACCACAAGAATAGCATAAATAGTTTGATTTTGTAATTAGAACCTCTCCATTGCTCTCAATATCGGAAAATGAAATAAGATTTTTCTTTGCTGAGGTGGTGAAAACTTAACTTAATGTTCTAGCAAATTCAAGTACAGTATTGAAATCTGTGTACTAGTTCTGAAGTAAATTAGCTCTAATAGAATCTTCATTTATACCCATTATGAAGGATGTACCTAATGAGAGCATCTTGATAAAAGTCACTAGGAAAATCACAACTGCTGGCTAATTCTTTTAATTTACTTGCAAAGTTGGACAAAGATTCAACACCTTGCTTCAGTAAAAATAATTTGACTCTTTCGGCAACATCAAACTTTACTGGCTTGAAATGCTTTACCAAAAGTTAATAAAGTTGTTCATAAGTGAATTCACTAATTTCTTTTGGCTTGCAAATAGTTACCAATGTGTTAAGAACTGTGCTATCCAGGCAGTCAATGAATAAACATCTTTTAATACCATCATTTGTAATATTGCCTAAACATCAATGTCTCTTGAATTAGGGTTACATTTTTCACATCTAGGTTGTCTTACCAACATAGGATTATCAAGAGTTGCTGGTAATGTATCTTCAGAGATTGTAATTATTTAGACTGTGGAAATGAATAAACTATCTTGCACTCTAAGATTTTCATAAAATCATCCTCGTCACCAGTTTTATGTTTGAAGTAAATACATAAATTGTTAGGTAAATTAGTTTAATAAAAAAGAACTGAACTTATTCACAAGTCAAAAACTAGAATAAAATAACAAAACAAAAAACAAGTTAAAAGTCAGCTGCAACTTAAACAATGTAAACATAGCACAAACAAAAAGTTTTCACCCAGTTAAATCAGCGGACAAATTTTTTTGTTACTACATGCCTATTTTTCCTGTACTAAATGAGTACTTTAAGTGAGAATCTGATGGATTTAAGTCCTACAACTAAATTACGCGATATCAGGAATTTATTTCTAATATAGTGTATGTTTTATTGTAGTTATTAAGAAAGAAATCTGTTTTAGTTTTATTTCCAAACCCTTTTATAATCTATGTAAAAAAATTTTAGGAGGATGTACAATCGATTTACATGAGGACCTTTCTGACAGTTTTGAACCAGTATTTCTCACTTATGGGAAGCATGGAACGGAAATGGCAAAACCTTCACTAATAGAAAATCGAGGAGTAATACAACTTAAGGTAGGTACAGACCATTCAATTTTGGTGAATTAACAAATTGATGGTGTTTATATAATGTTGCTAACCAGCACTCCAACAACTATAATAAATGGTAACTGATTATGTTGACAGAAAGGCCAGGATATAATAATCGCATGTCCTGGAAAATTCAATAGACTGAACGTGGGGAATGACCTGAGGTACACAATATCACAGTGTGTGGAGGGGAGCAGACTGATGGTGGGGGGGAGGGAGATGAGAGCTTTGGACATACAGTGTGTCAGTCCAGTGACATCATCTGTGAGACTGACTGATAGACGATGTGGACAGACCAATGCAGCCATGGTGGAAATCGGCTATGAGGTAGGCCTTCAACAGCTAAGAGATTAATTCATTTGAGAAAATATTTGTTTATAATTGTAGTTTTTAAATTCCAGCTTTGAGATGTACTCTGGAACCCTTGAATGTAATCCAAGATGAATTTTAAAATTTGCTTTCAAAATAAAAAAAAGTTTGGCCTACACCACTGACTTAGTGGGAAAAAACACAACCTCTTTGTTTTATTGCAGTTTGATTGGATTGCGTACAGATGTTATTGCTGTATCGCTTTCTCAACTACTGTTGTATTCTAATCTTGCGAACACAATGTGTGGTTTTTAATGGTTCACACTTTTTATAGTTGGCACCAGGGTCCGGTCCTTAAGATGTCTGATTAATTTTGCTAATTATAAAAAGTATAATATAAAATCTATCTATAATATTAACACGAAACAGGGTTTTTTAAATTCATGAATCTGAATCAACCACTCGACGGATTTTCATGATTTTTGTGTTGAAAGAAAGATAATTTTGAGAACTAGGGAATGTCGAAGCCATAATTTTAGTTTAGGGTCCCAGTTATTTAGAAATTAAGTTTTAATTTTTGAAAGGTCTAGCAGCCGACGCTAAGATTCTAAACTAGCTTTTAGTGTAATATAATTTGTTTAACATAACAGCTGTAAACATTCAGCGTTTGTAACACAATTTCAGCATTTGGATAAAATTAAAAGACATACTAAGGGTTGACTTATTTATACTATGTGTAATGCTAATCATTGATACGTTCAATCCTTCGATAAGAGGATGACAGATTATTTAAATATACATAGGTAAAATACTAGGATGTTCAAAGGATTTTTTAAATAAATCTTTGTAATCTTCGGTTTGTTTTAGTGCAATATAATTTGCTTTTAACTAACAGCTGGTTAAATATAAAAATGCTCTGTAGAACTATGAGGTTATTTTATTTACTCTGATTTGTCATTGATTTTTAGGAAATAAGTAAGATTAGTAGACCACCGAGAAAAGTAACACCATCGATGTATACAAGTCGAGGCTCTGTACACGAGTCTTTAAAAATACCCCCGCCGCAGCAAACCTGCAGACTAAGCAAATTTCCATTTGCCTGATTGGATTTACACTAAATTGTCTCCTTAAAAATATCACATTTATTCCCTATTTAAATAGAATCAGTTTAACACATACTTAGGTTTGCTGCAACAGGGAGGGTAAAAGTGTTTCTTTATGTAAAATGTTAATAGTTAGTAAGAAATAAAAACATTTTCCAAATTTGGGCAAAATATGTTAATAAACAAGCAAACTACAACAGTTGACTTATTCTCCATAAGAATAACATGAGAATTTTAAATTTACAATTTTTTTGAATTTTCTCCGTAACCATTAGGCGCATTATAATGCTTCAATATACTAAATTATTTGTTTTTTTAAGCTCTACAAAATTCTTTGGAAAGAAATTGCAAAATTTTATGTTTTTTGGGTCAAAAATGAGAAAAACCCATTTTTACCCCATAAAAGCCCCCATAACTCCCGTTCCCATTGTCCGATCATGCTGGTTCGCGAACTTGTTCAAATAAACGTAGGTTTACACGTTTGTATCAAATTTCATCAAAATTGGATCATTTTTGCTCGAGTTATGGCGCTAACGGACACATATGAATTTGAACGGATGGTGTTTTTGGCCTCTAGGGACCTCGGAACGAAAAAAAAAAATCGGTCCCGGGTCCAGGTCATGAGTACTACGGTAATAGCTTATTCCCTATATGGGAAATTCGCTAAAAGGATATGCAAATTATTATACTGCTCAACTTTTTTAGGAAAGGGTAGGAAAATCCATTTTTTACACATTTTAATTCATCTTGGTTTGTTTACAATCAATGTTTTTGAATGATTAAACTTTGTTTGGATTAGGCCCGGGAATATTGATGTCATAAAGAAGGAGATCAAGAATCCTCAGGAATACAATTTTAAATTACCACCACAACCCAGACGGGTTTTATCCAAAGATATACAGCTATGAATGACATAGATTGAGCACAACGTCATCATTGACCTAGGATACTGCAATTAGACTAACCATCCTTTTATGAAATCTAAAAAGTTGTTTGGCGTGTGTTTAGTTGTGGTTACGTTTGGAGGCGCTGAATATTTTATAGTTTAAATAAATGAATATGGGGAATTACGGTGTACATTGAATTCAATGAGGGTGGTTTAATTATTAAGGATATTAGAACCGATAACGGAATGTATAATAAACATAGACAATTAATTACGTCACTAGCTTTACTAGCGTGTTTTACGTTTTAAATTCCTTCAACATGTGACCAGTTCTTTTATTTAAATGAATATTATTTTATTTTTGACTCAGCTGTTTACCAAAACAAATTACATGTTGTTGTTTTTACTTTTCTTTGTTTACACTTATTTATTTAGCAATTGATGCAGTGAAATTTATATAAAGGATATGTGTGGACGATTCGTTTAAGATGTCTGGACACCAATGTTATAATTATGTGTACTGTGAATTTTATTGGACGTTTTCGTTTTATTTTAGGGAGTTTCTATTTAGACCTACTGGAAATTGTGTATAGTATGAGTAATTGTATTGTGTTGATATTGATTGTGGAAGAGGCAGGTATGCGATGGAATTGGAAGGTGATATCGTTGACAAGGCCTGTACACTTTCTCAATTGATAATTACTATTTTTACTGTAGGATGATATAAAATTTGTCTTTATACGTGTAAGCTAGCTGTTCTGATTTATACACAGTTTTAACTGACTACTCCCGTACGTAGGACGGGCTAACACCTCGTATATATAAAATCCAATGTATGTTTGTTTGTTTGTTTGTTTATTTGTTTGTTTGTTTGTCCTTTATGGACTCCGAAACCACTCGACAGATTTTAATGAAACTTTCAGGCATTATTAAGCATTAACACCAAAGCTCTTGGTGATCTCTCATTTCTAAAGAAATGGTTAGATCAAAATGTGCTCTCACTTAATGTAACCAAGACTAAATTCCTTCCCATATCACTCAGTATCAGCACTGATTATAATATAGACAATTTGAAGTTTCATTGTTGCGGCAACCATAACAGCTTATCTTGTAATTGTGAGTACATTGAAAGGCTAGATTATTATAAATATTTGGGTGTTTATTTTGACTACCGAATGAAATGGACAGAGCATGTAGATTTCTTGAAGAAAAAGATTCGTAAATATATCTATGCTTTTAACGAATTGAGTGAAATTTTAGACGAGGATGACGTAAAGCGAGCTTATTTCGCTTATGTGCAATCTTTGATTTCTTTTGGAATTATTTGCTGGGGAGCATGCTATCACACCACCTTGGAACCCTTGAATGTAATTCAATGATCAATTTTGAAAGCTGCTTTTAGAAAAAATAAAAGGTACTCCACTGATGCTCTATTCCGTGAGACGGGAATATTACCGGTCAGACATCTTTTCATCCAGTTCCTTCTTAATCACACATTCAAAAACTCAAACACGATTCTTACAGCAGTCACACATCAGCACTTCACAAGATTAGAACACCACAATGTTAGAATATCTGTTCCTCAGCTACATAAATCAGTTCTAACTACCAACTGCTTTTATGTTTCTCAGATCCTCTGTCGAAATTTAATTCAAAAATATGATATTCAACACGTTTTTAGTTTACCCTCATTACAGAAATTCAAGAGTCATATTCTTGTTTTACTGCACTCCATTACCAAAGAAGAGGCCGAGACTTTGAATAGACCAAACCATACTTGACTCTGACTAAAAATCCTTGACCCTTTAACCACCCCCCCCCTCCACCCCCACCCTCCAAATGTATTTTTTTATTGAACTGGCTTTGGTTGTTGTCCCGACATTCTCAACCGCATTTCAGTTTTATTTTAAATAACTAAGAAAAAAAAATCTCTCATATTCAGTTTTTGCCCTTAAAATTTCGCAGACTGATAACAACCAGGCCTACGCACAGGCACCTGCCCATTTAGGCCTATACCATAAGTATGGCAGATTCATTAACAATTATAGTTGTACTACTATAGTTATCTTGCTCTTGCTCTCTGTTTTTATTTATCTGTATCTTTCTGTACAATATTGGGATAAATAAACGTATTTCATTATTCAAGGATGGTTTGTGTGAAGTTTGGTACGAATCTGTCAAAGGGCTCCGCCCCAGTGGCTCTGGAGTTCCCCATGTTAACCTTATGAGTACTCATATTTAAATGAAATTTAAAAGTCTTAACAGCTGACAACAATTTGATTCTGTGATGTTCAATAGCATTAAAAAGTAAATAGGTTTACCAACAAGGTGCAGCACTATTATTTTTTGAAATTTATGACACAGCTAATTTGCAACCAAAAGGTGAGTGAGCGTAGCGAATGAATTTCAACCAGAACGTGATTGAGCCATGCGAACGAGCTCATCTTGAAAATGAACGAGCATTTGACATAAAACCACATTAGGATAGGACGACGTCTGTCGGGCCAGCTAGTAATTAATAATACTGGGTGTCCCAGAAAGGAATGCACTTGTAAAACGAAGAAAACAGAAAAATGTCTTTATTTACAGCAATTTTCGCAAGAATACCTGTTTGTACACTTCAGTGAAATTACTTGTGAAAGATTACATCATCCAGATGTCGACTCCTCCGGCGCCGGCACTCCGCCAAACGAAACCTTAGCCTACATCTGCGAAAACTCAACGGCGGAGTTCTGGGGGATGGCTTCAATTTCCTCATGAATACTTTAATTCAGATGATCGAGGGCAGCAGGAGCGTTGTTGTACACCCGACCTTTTAGGTACCCCCACAAAAACATCTATTGGAGTTAGGTCTGGGCTTCTCAGAGGAAAGTTGATGTCACCAAATCTGGAAATGACTTTCCCATGAAACAGCTGCCTTATTGCACTCATGGCGTGTCCTGCTGTATGACACTTAGCTCTGTCCTGTTGAAACCACGATCTTTGCCTGTCAGCCCGAGGTAACGTCTACATCCTCCACAGCATCTCGA